TTTAATTCTCTACAATTTAATATTTATTCAATCGTCAATAGTTTTTCTTAATTGATATTAATTGTTTGGCCGAAATCGGTTTTCACAGACATGACGTTCTTGAAGACGTTCCTGCTGACCTACACCACGTTCACGACCGCTGAAAAGCTGCTCCACAAACTCATCGAACGGTACGTGCGCAGGACTACATCATCGCCACCATCGCCACCATCATCATCATCACCATCGCCACCATCATCATCACCAGCATCACCATCGCCACCAGCATCATCATCGTTTCAAATCGCAAAGAGCGCAGTAGTACCACCATCTCACAACCGGGCATATCATGAGCGCAGGTACCACGTGCCACAAGACAGGAAGCCGCCCAACATCCGACCAGAGGACTGGAACACGACCACCCTCATGCCCATTCGTCTGCGGGTACCCACTCTCACCACCACCACCACCACCCACCACCACTACCACCACCCACTTGCATCATCTCCAAGATTTGAACCTTGGTTGGTTGCAAACAAACAATTCCCTTCGGCTGGTGCGCGCGCGCTTGTGTGTGTGTGTGTGTAGGTGTGCAACGTGCTGCGGAAATGGATCGAGGAATTCGAAGACGAGCTGTCGTCGACGCGCCTGCTGCGGACGCTCAAGACCTTCCTCGAGACGACACTGAAGCCCGACGGCTACGTGGTGCTCGCCGAGGCCATGTCGGCCGCCCTTGCGCGCAAGGTACCCTGCATGCCACGTCGAGCGCCACCTTAACCACGGCTCGAGCCGCCACCTTAACTTGACCGGCCTTGGTATGCACCAACACCAGATGAAGCAGCGGGAGATTCCGCCGGCCACCATCACCGAGCCGCCGCCGGAGCCCAAGGTGCCCCGCAACGTGTTCTCGCCCTCGCTGTCCCTCATGGACATCAACGACGAGGAACTCGCGCGACAGCTCACGCTCATGGAATTTGAGACATTCCGCGCCATTAGGGTACGACACGCACACGCACCACCGCACACGCACACGCACACGCACGCACTGGCGATTGGTTGGTGCTCACTCCCCTTGGTTCTTGCCTTGTGCAGCCCTCGGAGCTGCTCAACCAGGTTTGGAACAAACCAAAGCAACGACATCGGTACGCGACACGCACGACGTAACAAATTAACACAACCACAACACAACACAACACAACACACACACACTCATGGCCGCACCCACCTCGTACAATTCTTAGGGCGCCGAACGTGGTGAAGATGATTCGACGATTTAACGAGATCTCCAACTGGGTCGCCACGAGCATTGTGGGCTCCGAGAAGATCCGCCAGCGCGTCAAAGTAATGACCAAATTTTTGCGCCTTGCCGACGTACGTCGTTTCTATCACACACACACACACACGGCCTAACTCGTGATGGATCGGGCGGGCAGATTCTGCGAAAGATGAACAACTTCAATACCATGGTGGCGGTGGTGGCCGGTATCAACGCGTCGGCGGTCCACCGCCTCAAGTGGACCAAGNGGAGGTGATGAAGGCATCTGGCCG